GAACTTGTAGCAGATGAATTTACAAGACTCTCAATACATAGTGGTAAGAATGGGTATTTTTAAAAAGAAATGAATCCTTTCCCACTAAGTTATTGCACAATTAATTTGGAATAAAATTACAAATAAGCTTCTTCAAATTAACTTACCTCCATATGTTATATCCAGACAATAGGATGTGTTTTGGGATATCAGTGATTTTGAGGGTTAAAACTTTGATTTTAAGGATAAGCATAGGCTGAATAATTTCTCATGAAAACTTAAAAAAAAATAACTTGGATTACATCATGTTCCTTCTTCAAAAAAGACATTTCTATAAAATGCTACATTGCAAGAGATCATGACATCACTTATAATGCCTTGATGGTGAATTCATCACTATTTCAAAAAGTTAGCTTCCAGAATGAAACATAACATAACATGAGTTTTAAATGTTTACTGCAACACTTCAGAATCAGCTATATTGACAACTTTAACATATATTTTAAAAAGTAAAGTCAGAAGCATTGTGCTGGTATATTATTCAAGTATAACTCTTCTGAAGTGAAAGATACATTACAGTTTTTTCTATGAATACACACACTGTTCAGTTATAAATGTGCCTATCATATGAGTCAAGGATAATAGGACAAAGGAATCATTATCTTTTTGCCTAAAACTCTACTATGATTATATTAACAGTGAAGGAAAAATAGGTGGATAAACCTGCATAGAAACTTTAACGGTGACATTTGAATATGTGAAAGAAAAAATACAAACATTAAAGCAATAATAGAATGTAAGGGTATCTCATAATTGCAGTTCTTCATACTTTCTATTCAGATGAGAAAAAGTGAAGTGTCATCTTCTGCATATCATCATAAACACATCATAAGCATCTCCTTGTTCAAACACAATTATGCATCATCTTTTTTTTCAGAATTTTTTAAAAAAACAGCTAAAGTTAATCCAGGATAAAAATACAAACTCTTTATTTTTTTTACAAAGACAGATATAAAACCATATGCACTTACCCCAAGGTGGTCATAGTAACAATAGTATACCAGAAAGCAGCGGGAATACTGGTGAATTTGCTGGCAGATGAGCCTTTTTCAGCATAGAACATGACTGTAGCAAAGATTATGATGGCCATAGTGAGAGAAAAAAGGAGAAAGCCAAGCTCTGATGCACAGCTTTTCAGAGTGTAACCCAGGATGCGCAGACCCTGTGAGTGGCGCGAAAATTTAAAGATCCGGAAGACCCGGAAGACACGCAGGGTTACAAAGGCCCCACTGACATCCTCATTGTTGGTCATCACAAGACCAATGTAATACGGCATAATTGCCACGACATCAATGATGCTCATGACGCTACGGACAAACTTGTAACGGCTGGGAGCAGCCACCAGGCGCAAGAGATATTCAACAGTGAAGATCATGACACAGGCTGTATCTAGGCAGAAGAAAGCCACATCGTAGCGCTCTCCACAGGACAGCTCCTTGATGGCACCAGGAGTTACCCCACAGGGCACAGTCTCCACCACGTTGGCAATGACAGAAACTGCAATGAAGAAGCCAGTAACATAGTAAAAAACCAGGGCCAATGTGCTGGTGTGTGGATTCTCAAAGGCCCGCCACATCCTCTCTCGAGCTGTCATGGAAGGAAGATGGCACTCATCGGCATTATCCTGATCAGCATCATCCTGAAGGCGTTCAGCATTTTCCCGTCGTCGATCCTTGTACTCCTCATAGCAGCAATCACCAATGATTTCAGGGATAATACCAAAGAAGGCCAGCTCCTCATCGTAGGCTGAGATGCACTCTTGACGGGGATAGTGTAGCTTCCCTGTTCTATAGAAATTGAGGATGTGTCGGAAAATGTCAGGATCCCGGTCAAAAAAGTATTGCTGTGTCTCTGGGTGGTAGAAGAAGTCCCTCTCCGAGCTACCCAGAAGGGTATCAGGGTAGCGTTCTAGGGTGTCCAGCCAGGTCTGGAACTGGGTGCCACTCACATTCAGCACAATCAGGGAATCCTGACTACGTTTCCTCTCCTGCCGAGGAGCACTTGGCATAGGGTTGGAGGCCACTGGCATCCATCCTATTGCTGCTGCTCGAGCAAAAGGCAGCCATGCTGCGACTCCTGCTGCCATTATAGAAGCTGCTGCTGGTATTGCTGGGTGTTCTCTTTAGGAATAATCCAGTCTCCTAAAATGGAGGGGGGGGGGAGGAGAAACACAGAATGTAGCAAGAGATTAGGGGTCCACATGTTCTGTGTAACATAAAATCTAGCCTATCTTTTTTTCCATCTTCTTTCTTGTCACCTTTCCCAAATAACTGCTGCTCTCCCATTTCTTAACTCCATTTGAAATATTTGCTTTAACCTTTTAACCAACTATGGAGCAGGAGAAGCCATTCTATATTGTTGTTCAACACCACACACCTCCTTTCTCCATTAAGTGGACTGAAGTCAGGAAAGATCAACATGCACAAAAATGCAGCAAAAATATACTGTCTGCAAGAGTGGATCAGCTAGCCTGTCAGATCCAGGGAGTGGTAATCAGTCAGCAATTTTATCAGACCAAGAGACAACTCCTGGCTCAGCAATCTTCTGTTCTTTCCTGATTCCTGGGAAAGGCTTCCACATCCTGACTCAAATCTCCTCCCACCTGTCTACTGTAACCCATCTGCTGCAAATAACTTGTTGGGAACTGAACTGAGAAGGAGAGATGGATTTGAGTTGCCTTCTTTGATTAAATACTTAGGGTAGTACTGCAGAAAGAACACCTGCTAAGATGTCTACTTACATCTCTTTGTAAATCATAGGTTTAAGCAGGAGGTGTGAAGATGTCACTTTTCCAATTCACAGTGGATTCCCTTCATCCCAGTGATCATCACGTCATACCACACACTCCTATTTTCCATGCTGTTCTTGAACTAAGGAAGCAAGGTAGAGGAACACAGAACTAGTAGCCTCCAACTTGATACAGGGAGGCTTTCTTGAAAAAAGAAAAAGCAAGCTGAGAGACAGCTCAGCTCACAAAGAATTCTGTAAGCCTCCTTAGAGAAAACTAAGTGAATTTTAAAAAGCGGAAATTAAGGTTGACTAGGAAGATGGGGCAGGGGGAATCAGAATGTCCAGCTGATCCGGACAGAACAACCACTTGTGGGAAATGTGCAGAAAGGGGTGGGATGAAAAGAGAAATTTTGAGAGGGAGGTTCCTATGAAGGGGATTAGCTTTAACCAAGGCAAAAGTCAGGGTCTTCATCCTGAATGAAAATTCAGAATGAGCTGGAAGGGAAGTTTAGGGTGGATGAGAGAATGGTGGAAATGGTTCACATAGGAGGAAATGTTTTGAGAGTTGGTCCTGAGGAGATAGGAAGAATCCTAAAATGGAAAGGTTAGGGAGGAGGGAACAGAAATATCAAACAGACATTTTTTTAAGAAAAGTGGAGAGAGGTTCAAATGCAGTTGATTTAGGAAGGAAGGTGACTTTAGGCTGCAATGTTCAGAGTTCAGATGGTGGAAAGGAGGGCTACAGTCCTTAGCCTAAACATAATTCAGTCAGCCAAAGAGGTGTTGGAGTTCTATAGGTGGAGATTAGGACAAAAAGTGAGAATTTTAAGTGAGTGTTTGTGTGTGGGTGTGGGTGTGGGTGCTAGGGAACAAGGGTCTCAGGACAAGGAGCTAGAGCTATATACCATTATCTCTCTCTCTCTCTACACACACACACACACACACACACCCTGACGAGTGGCATATGCACGTGCATGTGTGAAAGCAGTAACACCATTTATGCAGTGCAAAATGAAACAATGGGCAGTTCCACTAAGGAGATCTCAGATATTTTGGACCTCAAAAGGTCTGGGCGAAAATTTAGTTCAGAAATCTCGGCTAGGACAAAGGACTGATTTGGGAGCGGGGTGGATTTAAGGAAAGAGATTCCCGGACAGGGATCGAGAGGGCCATTTCACTTTGCCCTCTCCCCCCGCCCCCGCCCATCCACTGAACTGGCTCCTACGCGCCCAAAGACGCCGCTCGCTCCCGCTGCAAGGGCAGCCTTGCCTCGGCTGCTCCGCGCCCTCTCAAACTCTCCCCGCCACTTGATGCTGCTGCTCCGGCGGCAGGGCGTCCAAAGCTCTGGCGGTGGAGACGGAATAAGCCGCGGCAGGGGAGGGACGGAGGGGGCGTAAATTTTGGGGCTGGGGGTCCAAGAGGCCTACGCCTCGAAGGGGGCTTCGGCCACCAAGCCCACGCACGGCGCCCCCCCCCCTCTTCCGCCGCCTGTCCCTCCCTGCCTTCGCCTTACCTGCGGGCGAAATCCGGCCGGAGCGCTCGCTGGGCATTGAGGGGACCTGAAAGTGGCCGAGACTCCCGCGGGCGCTCGTGCAGAGGCGCTGAGGCGGCTCCTGGCCAGCCCCCCTTCCTCTCCCCTCTGCAACAAGTTCAGCGGCAGACGTGGGAGGCGGGCAGGGGGGTCAGCGACCGACGCAATTCCGTCTGGTGGCAACTCAATGCAGCCGCTTTCCTCCTCCTCCTCCTCCTCCCCCCGCCCCCCGGGAAGGAGCTCAGCGCGGCGGCGGCTCTCGTCAGGCAAGAGAGCTGCCGCGGTCGGGTGGCGGAGGGCAGGGCTGCCGGGGCCAGGGTTCCTCCCGGCTCCAGCGGGTGCCCGGCATGCCTTGAAGAGAGGAGCCCAGGGCTTTCCTGCCGCCGATGCTCCCGCTGCTGGTGCTGAGAGCGGGCGGCACAGAAGGCGGGCGGCAGCCCACGGAGGCGAGCAACCCACCCTGCTGCTGCGGGTGATGCCTCCCCGGGCAGCTGCTGCGCTCTCCTTCCTTTTCCTGCAAATGTCACTGGAGGGAGGAGAAGGCGGATGGAGTCGTGGCGGGAAGGAGAAAGAGGGCTTCGATCCGGAGAGGAACAAAGAGAATTACAAATCGGCGCCTACTCCGACTTGGTCGTCCAGGCGAAGGGGCTGCGGGCGTGTGAGCGCGCGCGCGCGTGTAGCGCTCTGCCCCATTCTCACAGGCGTCTCTCTCTCTCCCTCTTCCCCTCTCCCTCCCTCCCCTCTCTCTCACACACACGCGCGCGCGCGCCAACCCAGAGCTTGGGCTCTGGGATGCCTTCCCCTTTCTGGTGGGGTGTAGAATTAATGAAGAGTTTATAGAGCATCTTCAAAAGACACCCCTCGCCCCCCAAAAAGTGGCGATTAGCTTATTATTCAAAAACAGAGTTTTTCAAACTTTGTGGATTTCTCCCGGTTCGCTTAGTTAAAAATACCCTTTAGCACCTGGAAGCAAATGCCGCTGCCGTTGTGCAACGTGCCCCGCCCTTTCTCCTCGGAGTATCAATGCGTGTTGAACACTCTTGTTCAAATCCATTTGAACGAGCTTTCTAAAACGAGCGTCACTCCCGGGATGCTGCCTGGGAGGGTTTCCCCTCTTCCTTCCCATCTTCTTCCTTAGTGTATATTTCTTCGTTTTCCAGTAATAATAATTTTTTCAGCAATCCTCTTTCTTTGTGACCACTGGATGGCGCATGGAGGATGGTTTCTGCAATGCCTTTGCTACTCAAACTTTAAGGAAGGAATTGTGCTCAGAAGTGGCAAACCTGTTGTCTAGACTGAACCACTTCAGATGAGAACTCACCCCACTGAGTGCTCTTTTATTATCTCTGCATAAAAAACTGGGGAGGAAAAAAGTTAGTGGAACTTTTCTTTCCAAGAAGTTTCACTTAGAATTAGCCTAGAAAGGTGAACCTACTAGGCAAGCTGTGTACAGGTAATCCTCACTTAGCGACTGCCTCATACAGCAACCATTCACAGTTACACAAGTGATGGAAAAAGGAACTTTGTGCCAATCCTCACATTTAAGACCTTTGCAGGTCTATAAAGCAAAGGAAAACTGAGGTAATATCATATGCACAGTTGCAGTTTCACTTAGTGACTGCTTCACTTAACAACCAAGTTGCCAGTCCCAATTGTGCTTGCTAAACGAGGACTATTTGTAGTCCAGCAAAATTCAAGAAAGGTTTCAAGAAACTGGATTAGGTTCAGATAAGAGTAGTGAGGATGATCAAAGATTAATTCAGTCTGATAAGGTATAGTGGTATGTGGGAATGACCTTGGAAGACAGGGAAGAGCCACACCAGTGGAACAGTTGGACAAGAGGGAGCTTAGCCTGCAAAAGGAATGTGGGCATGGCAAACATCTCAGAAGGGACCCTCCCTAGTTTCTTGGACTGTAAAGGTGATGGAGAAGAAATGTACTTTCAGACTTGCAAGATTCTGTTAACGTAACCTTACAATGAAGTAGAATTCATCTGGTCATGCCTCCTATCTGGACTATGTCACTAGGCTGACCCAAGGAGAGATTGAAGAAATGGGATGTTTAGTCCTGAGAAAAGCAGCGTGAGTGGGGACATACTTGCATTTTTCAAAAACTTGAAAGCGTGTTATGAAGGAGGTGGCAACAACGTATCTGTAGAGGGGGTCAAAAAAAGTCAAGATGTTAAACTGTGTAATATTTACACAGGTTAAAGAAAGGGTGGAGATTCAATTGCATGGTTATAGTGGCCATCTTGACTTTTTTGACCTCCCCATAGATGCCACTGGCAGCAACAATCTGTTACCTGCCTTCCAGACTGCAGTATGTGGAATAACAGCACGCTTTGGAAATTATTCAGAAGAGGTATCTTGGAATGTGTGTGAGCAGCACACTTCTTTCAAGCAACTGTCTCTTTTTTTCCAGCTTCCCTGTGAGGCTGGACAGGATATGACCATTTTAAGGAGTTGATTGTGTCTTTAAATTTTACCATATCAAGAGAAATAAGCCTATTTCTAAGCACTGTATGCTTTAGCAAAGTTCTTGATTTGCTGCTGGAGCAAATATTGCCCTGGGTTTAGATAGAAACTCTGGATTTTGTGCTGGTATCTTCGATGGCATTGTCTGGATGGTAATGTGTCAATTGTCATTTAGCAAGAGTGGGGCTCCTCTCTTTCTCAAAATCCTGTCAAAAGCTTCCACATTTTTTCCTCCCTCCCTCCTCCCTTTCTGTCTCTATAACAGCTTCATGTGGAAGGACAAATCTTTATTAACTACAGGTTTGAACAGATTATTTTACAAAGGGTTGAGGAAATATGCCGAGCCCACCT